TAATAATAATAATAATAATAATAATAATAATAATAATAATAATAATAATAATAATAATAAACATTATCATAAAAATAATTATAATACAATTAAAAACAATGTATACAACTTCGATTAAAGTTTTTTTTTTTTATTTTTTATAATTCTTCATAAACACAAATAAAATAGCGTCATCTAAGATACGCGTGAATCACAGAGTCGACGGGCTTGTATACATTTAAATAATATATATATTAAGTCATCAGTGGTAAGCTCAGGGCAGGACCGGGGACCGGATCACCTGTTTTAAACTTGGAAATCATCTATTTACATGTAAATATTATTTTACGACTATAAATTCATTTAAATCGTATTCACTACTTTCATTTTCATTCGCCGGTATCGTTAATGTTTCTGAAATATAAATGAATAATATTTTTTTTTTTTTTTTAAGGGAGTTTGTTCGATCGAAATAGAATTAATGACAAAGTTAATAATAATTTAAAAAAATTGACGAACATGTACATTGTACTCTCGTATAGTCGTATAAAGTAAAATATATTTGATTTGAAGCGCATTTACAGGGAAAAATAAAAAAATAAAATAATAATAATAATAATAATAAGAAAATAAACACATGCGAACAAAATCAAATCGCGATCTTAAATTTTAGTATTAAAATAATTATCGAAATCCTTTCGTTTTTATACTAATATGCGTAGCCGTTTCAGTGCATAAACCCTACTCAACCCGTACGAACTTCAGCTGCTGTAACACGTCTTCCGGACGTCCGCCAGTATGACGCTGAACTCCTCGTCCGGTTTGCCAACACCACCACCAGCAGCCAACACTTGTCCCGCAGCAGCGGCCGCGGCCGCGGCCACACTTTGCATGTTCGCCGTGGCCGGCACGTTCTGCACGTCGGGATAGTGCTGGGACGCGATACCGTCCAACGACGCGTAACCGCTGAACTCGGACTTGATCACGCAGTTGTTGAGCAAATACGACGGCCCGTGGTGTTGCTGTTGCTGGTGATGGTGGTGGTCCTGTTGCATGACGTGCTGCACCACGGGCGAGTAGTACGAACTGTACTGTTGCTGCTGCTGCTGGTGCTGCTGGTGCTGCTGAAGTTGATTGTGGTGCTGATGGTGCGACTGCTGCAGGCCGGCAAACATGACGTTGTGTTGCTGCTGCTGGTGCTGTTGGTGCTGATAGTTGTGGTTGTTGTCCGGCTGCTGCTGCTGCGACACGTACTTCAGGTACCGGTCTAGCTCGGTGCTGCCACCGGACGCGGTTACGTCCACCGCCACGTCCGACTGCTGAGATCTAGGCCGTTGCAGGTTGGCCAGCAACATTTCCGACGGCGACTGATGGTGTTCGAAGCCCATCTCCATGATCTCGCCGCCACCACCGCTGCTACCCGTACCGCCTCCGCCGTGATAGTCGTTGCCCGTCGACTGTTGCCTGATGTGCTGCTGTTGCTGTTGCAATCCCATGCCGTGATGGTGGTCCTCTTGCTGTTGCAATATACCGCCGGCGGCTGTAACGGAACAAAACACAAAACCCAATTAGCCTTCGAGACATTCATAATGCCCCGGAAGGGGGGGGTGGAGACTTCTATCGTTCGTACTTACCGTGGTACGCGTCCGGTTGTCTGCCGGCCACGATGGTGGCCGCCGAGGACAGGCCGCTGGTGTACACGGGGGTGCCGGCCGCATGAAGCCCACTCGTCGAGTAAAACGGTCGGTTGGCGTAATGCGGCTGCTGTTGCTGTTGCTGTTGCTGTTGCTGTTGCTGCTGCTGCTGCTGCTGTTGCTGCTGTTGGTGGTGGTTCTGCGAGCTGGGACCGAGAACTTGTTGATCTTGAGACGTGGCGATCGGCGGGTAAAACGTTCCGGTCACGATGTTGTTGTGCTCGTACGCCAACCGCTGGTTGGTACACATCATCACCATACCTTTGGCCACACCCATGGCCGCTATCGACCCCGGAGCCGGTTGATAAGACGACGTATGGACGTTGTTGTTGTTGTTGTTGTTGAACTGACGATGATGATTGTTGTTGATGTGTTTCTGACCAACTGCGCCACCGCCACCATAATAACCACCGAAGTCGTCGACATCGTACTTGACCACCTCGGCCCGTTGATACGGATGGTGCAAGTGTTGATGGTGGTGATGGTGATGATGGTGCGGATCTTTGTTGGTGGCCGTCACCGGTTCCATGGGTGATAGTTCGGGCGTGGGCAGCGTAGGCGTTTTGCTAGCCGACCGTTGACCGTTGTCCGCGGTCGGATCGCCGCCGCAGGGTTCGTCGGACGGGGCGGCCGCGGCAGTTACGGGCTTGTCCGGGTCGGGGCTGCACGTGGGCGACGATTCGGGGGTGATCACTTCGGACACGCGGACCGGCGAGTACGGGCTCTCGCTATTCGGGTAGTACGGCGACGTAGTCTTGGACGGGCTGTACGGTTGGTACGCGTACGGCTGCTGGTGCATGGCCGGCGACGAGTACGACGAGCTCTGGTACGGCGAGCTGGACGGGTACTGAACCAGCTTCACCTGGCCCGTGGAGTTGGGGCGCCTGGACGTGGGCGACTGGCCGGGGCCGCCGTTGCCCACCGCGGTGCCGCCCGCGCCCACCACCGACGACGGCGAGCCCGCGCGTTGCTTGTTGTGCTTCCTCCGCCGCGGCCTGTACTTGTAGTTGGGATGCTCTTGCATGTGTATCACGCGCAGCCGTTCAGCTTCCTCCACGTACGGCCGTCGGTCTTGCGGCGTCAGACTTCGCCATTTTTTACCTGCAACACACGCACAATGGTATTATTGTAACGACGGTCCGTCCCAACGAAGCGTAGTGCGACCGATGTGCAATCGCGTATCGATTCACGACAATGTCCCGAACGAACGTTCGTAACAGCAACTGCAATAAAAACGCGGGGTCCTCCTTATCAGGACGCGCATGAGCAGTGATGAGGGGTAGGGGCAGTTTAATGCATTCAGAGTAAAGCGCAGGGATGTAGGACGAAAGACAACTTAAAGGTTTATTTCTAAAAGCGACAAAGAATTTGATCATGTTGGATAAATTTCAAAAAAAACTGAGTATTGGTTAATTGATTGTAATACGTTCATAAAAAAAACACGTTTTACTTTTTTGGTTCGGCTACAACAATTAATACTACTAGCGTCATAAAATTAATTTAAAAACCGTTGGTTTACGAATACGCCTTTTTCGTAACTATAAATAGATAAGTCACTGATCATATACGTATTATCATTGATTATATACGTACACAGTCAAACCTCCATTATTTGGATTTCGTTTTATAGATCCCTAGATCCCTCTTTAAAGAACTCCAACTATTGTTTCCCTTTCATGTCATCGCGACACGACCATAAATACGAATATTATGTTGTGCACACGTTTTTTATTTGATTTCAGTGCCATAATATTATGTACACCTGATTTTTTGCCAAGCCTAAGAGTACTATTAGTGTTATATGGAATGAATTTAACCATAATTTAGTCCACCGCAGAGTATACAAACGATATCAACAATATTGTCGGCTGCAGTACATTCTTATATTTTATAAAAGCATTTTATAATAGCAACTTTATATTCATATGCAAATAGGTACGCTGCGAAATAACGCTACATCCAAAAAAATTAACTTCAATTGAGTATTATAATATGCGGCAATAGTTGGTGTGTTGCGCGATGACGTCCTGGGTAAAATATTACACTATAATATATTTATTTACAATACATAAACGCCCGGGTATATTATATGCAATCGATTTCCATAACGGGTTGTGTACGCCAATAGAAGGGTTTTTTTTCTAACATATCGTGGTGTATATGCACGTATATATAAATATATGTTTGCCATATACATGTATACCTGCGTGCAAGCGTAATTTTTTATACATACACACTTGGTGGAGATTCCGTCGGGAGCAAGTGTAAGACGGCGAGGCAGGAACAGGAGGCGAACATTTGAAATTTAAAACAGGCGCATCGCCGATAGAGTGGAGATCTGGACCGGCTAATTTATGCGACATCGTCGGAACGGGGCGAAACGGAGAGACGAAAAAATAAATAATAAGCTACATAATAATCAATATACATACGCTTGTGTGTGTGTGTATTATTTAGTCTGAAAAGGAAAACAATGAGAACTATAGGTGTTTTGTTCTGCTGTACGAATGCGATGAATATTCATCAACGGACGCGTTTGTATATATTTACTGCGCAGGGTCGCGTAACACTAAGCACCGCGAGCTTGCTCTTTTACCGACCGGATTCGATAGCGTTGGGCAAACGAGTCGCGATTGGTTGTAAGTGGCGAAACCCGCAGGCTTACAACAATTCTAATCGGGATTCTATGTTCATAATATTCGAGTATGCGATGTGTACATAGTAGTTCATTATATGGCCGCACGCGAAAAATACACTCGTGAAAGGGAATCGTGTAGGAATATCGTTCGTAGATGCTCCGAGGACGAAAAATAAAAAAAATAATGCACGGTTAGAAAAAATGTATGTAAGGATATCGAAAGGTATATTGTATTTATAAACATTGTAATATATACCTAATACCTCTTATTATCATTTTTTCACAATATTATCAAGGTAGGGCGTTAACCAATGAAAAAGGTAAGTTACTTGCCAAAGCTTAAAGCAATGATTTTAAAGGAACTTCTTACTAAATGAGTTGACTTTTTTTTTTCCATGATATGCACCAACTAATCAGTTTTACAGTCATGTTAAGCTTTTCCCAATTTAAATTTCTGAGAATAAAAATACAAATATATACATTTTTTTTTTTTTAAAAATTTTATTATTTAGAAAAAATTAATGGAATTAAAATTTTGGAAGAATTGTATGAAATATTTCTGGATTTCATAAGAATTCAAAACAATGTACATAGCATATTATTATAATATTATATTAAAAAAAGTAGCATATTTTTAACTAAGTTGAATTGATTTTTCATTCTATTTAATTTGTAACTTTTACAAGTTAATAAAAAAGAGAAATAACTTCTAACTTTAAGCTTAACTTACATTTAATAATATTTACTTAGAGTTAAAAAATAGTTAAATTTACCAGTATTGTATATTATACACTTGTATAATTCACGCGAGATTACAACCCTCGCGTCATAAAAAAAAACGGAAAATCTTATAGACGTACCACGTGACTACCTCAAGTGACGGTTATCGTAAACTAGTAGATGATAAGTGCGAGATGATCCCGCGGGAATTAATGGGAAAAATGAAAAAAAAAAAATAATCCCCAAAAAATGATCACAAAGGATTAATCGTTTTATTGGATTATAAACACACGACGGTCGACACGACGCAGATTGATGGATGACGCGACTCGTATAATAAAATGCACGGATCGCGCTGCAGTAGTTCTCCTACATTATGTAAATACAAATAACAACACCACACATATAGTTCTACTCCGGGTGTACCCTCATCGTAAATAGGTACTAATACGTATATATGTATCATATTTATAATACTTTTACCGGTATGTACTGTACGAACTTATATTATCTAACCATCTGATCGACTACCGATTGAAAAATCAAATCCAGAAGCACCGGATGGATTATAATATTTATACACGCCGCGGTCATCAGTCTGTCGCTCCTACTAGCGCGTTTAACATAACACACAATATAATAGGATTATAACGGTTGACACCGGACACTGGACCGTGGTATACATATACATAATATAAGGACATTATACAACAGGTATATCGCGAGTATATATATATAATACGAGTAAGTGCGTGAGTATTGTTGTACGCACGAGTGTGATTCTCGGATAGAAAGAAAAAAAATAATAATAACATAAAAAAAGAAAATATACGGCCGGGGGAATAGATTTATGTATCGTAACCTTAACGAACTATTATTATGCCTACTCTCACCCAAGCCGTTCGTCTTGCAATCCACGTTGCATCCACTCCGAAAATAATATGTAACATTATACAAGTGTATTTTATTATAATTTTGGACGGGACGAGACGAATATATGGTGGACAGTAATATCTATATACAATCATGATTATTAAATAAAAAGGGATGTACGAGAAATCTGTGGCAATAGGAAACAGTCGTCATTTATTCAAAGACACCGCGTTGCCCTATAGCTAAGAATATGACGTAAACTTATATTCAAGTCATTTTAAACGCACGGAGTTAAGTCAAGCCCTGCCGCCTGAACGTTTATGATGTGTCATCGCACACCTACGCAATATGTACTCGTATATTCTTCTTTCGCTCTCTAAAGAACGAATCTGATTTACCGGTGGAGTGTACAGGCATACGTATTATACTATATGAATAAGTACACCATATACGGTTCTTGAAAATCTTTACGTCACGTGGTGAGGTTTACAGTCAATTTTATCGATGAACCTCGTTGCAGCTATACGCCAACTTTTACGAATAATCACTAGGTAAGGTTAGTTTTATACATCCCAACGGATTCGTATGTAACGCCTCGTGGAAAATAATTCACTTGATAATACTAATCGAGATTTTAATAAATAGTCCTATCAAGTATCGGCGTTTAATTGCTTTTCATTTTTAACACCACGTACAAATCACAAAAACTTTAATAAAAAAAGACCACGGGGGATCGATCCCTTATGGACTCACTTATTCCATCATCGCAGTACATGACGTGTTAAACCGCTGAATGAGCCTCGCGATAATTATCACACGGTAACTAACAAAGATTCCGAAATGAGTTTTCATTTTGTAAGATGGGTTTTTTTTTCTAAGGATAAAACATAATTGTATAATCTATCTATAATATCGATTCGTCTGTAGTTCTTATACACGTTTGAATTTTCTGGACTAAAAGTTTTGATATAATTCGAAAATTAAACGCAAAATGATCACGTATTTGTGTATAATCTTCAAAACAATAGTTTATATTCACTACAAGATGATGACGTGTACATCGTACTAGTATATTATAATTATAAGTGTATACGCTTATTATATTAATTGCGTAATTTAAAATACGAAAATGTAAATCCGGTGACAAATGTCTGGACGAAAAAGAAAAATTGTTTCCTACGTTTACACGCACACACGAACACAATGCGAGCGAGAGCGACGCACGTACCTATTATATATATATAAATGTAGAGCACACAATCATAACGAATATCGCGTTATATATGTATGTATAATTTGTTCGACTAAAATAGTCAAGGATTTTAGGTATAAATATGAAACCCGTTTTATTCAAATCCGAATTTTACATAATCTATGCATACATCAGGTTTAGCGGCGCGTTTTCGTAGAAATTTGAACGACTGCGATGCGATAAAGAACCGTAGCAGCGTCCAAGTATCCTCGACACCTCGTCGGCTTCAAGAAAACGGCGGCAGTTTATGGGGCAGGTGCAACCGAACCGGCGGCAATTCGCAGGTTTTTATGCACACGATACGGTCGCCGGGTAACGCGGACACGCGAGCGGCATTCAATAGCACCGTGGAGACGAAGGGACAACAATAACAATCGAAATCGCACGAGAACGGACCGGGGGAAATAACGATGAATCCGACAGCTGCGTCGCGCCGGGAGAGGATCGCGGAAAAGTCCAAGACATGGCGAACCGGCCACATGATCATGCACTCGGTGACGGGCGTGTTGGCCATGGCCAGCAGCATCGCGTACTACCTGACCATTGAACGGTGCGATTACCTCTGTTACCAGTACAACACGGTGCTGATGATACACAATAAGTCCCGGGAAGAGTACG